TTAAAATTACTATCCTAATCATATGCATAAAAGAAACACAATAAAATTGAGCACACAACCCTAATTTTTATTTCCTAACTTCTGAATCCTTGACTTTGCAACTTCGGTGATCTTGTTACACATGATGTTGGTTTATTAGGAGGTAACGAGAATATAGTTAGGGCTGCTCTGATTTTTTATACCTCAGTAACTGTAGCTGTGTGTCTACCTCAAACTATGGCTCATGTCCTGTGGTCTTATTTTATCGGAGTCCCTAAGAATGAAATTGTCTTCCTTCTTGGTCCTTGTCTAGAAACTAAACATCTAGGTTAGGCTATAGTGCCAGCCTTTCCCCCTCTGGCTTTTGAAAATTTTATGAGCTGAGGTTTGGTGATGCTTGTATAAAACAAATATATTCCTTTGGTGGTATTGACTGTGTTATCCTGGGGATATTTTATCTTCTTTCGAATTAGGTAAGTATTCTATTGAGGTAACTGTTGTGATTACTACAAAATATAAAACATGAGATCAATTTGATGTATCAATCTAAATAACACTTTGTAGTCCTTATATTATTGCACTGGCTGCTGAACTTTTCAAACTATAGGAAGCTTGTTCAGAAAACGATGGGTTTTCGATAGCCATGATGAAATAGCAAATGGAGTCGTTTAAGTCTTCCACTCATGCATTAAGTATGACTTCAAAGTGTGTCAATGGGTTGGATCAAACTGGATTTTAATTTGAAAATGAAAGGTTCCCTGCTAATACAAAGCAAATGTACCAAATTTGAATTTCTGTTTCATTTTCAGAAGCTGTTTGGATAATTAAATAATGAGATGGATAGTGGCCAACAAGAACAAATTTCTGCAAAGTCTAACACTTTATGACTGCCTTGGGTTTTCCGTTTGAGGCAATCTGTCCCTGCAGTATTTTATTGCCTTACAATCTTGCTTATATTATTTATATTATTAATGTAAAAAATTAGTGAGGTAGGAATATTATGTTATTATTAGCAGTGTTGTTATTTTTTTCTTGTTTTTTTTTCTTTTTCCTTTTTTTTTTTTACAGATGGGGAACTAGGGCATAGAGAGAGACTAAGAATTTGGCAGATGAATGAAGTACTGTACAATACATGTAGGGTGTGGTCTTGCAGCATGGATTGGCTGCCCTTAGGCTATTTATGCATTAGTCAGTGCATGGTAGCTTATGAAGTCTCTTCTTCATACTGTGGGATATGGATATACTGTGCGTACACATAAGAGTCAATATTATTTATAGATTAGTTCTGGTTAGAAAGGTGTTACACTATCTAAGTAATAGAAAGCAATAGAGTAATGTTCCAGGAACGGTATGCTCATTTGTTTTACAAAGAAAAGATAGCTGCTTGTTGAACTATCAGAGAGCAGCCAGTTTGCTGCAGGTTCACGTCCTTGCTCCCTTCTCAGTGATTGTCTTTGCTTATTGAGGAGACTTCTCCAAAGGAAGCAAACTTCTGTCAGTTCACTCTAGTCAGTGTTCAGTCTCCTCAAAATTAACCTCCCCACATTTGGAAGACTACAGCACTGAAAAATAAAAGCCCATGATAATCATATAATCATAGAATCATAGAATGGTTTGGGTTCGAAGGGACCTTAAAGATCATCTAGTTCCAACCCCCCAGCCATGGGCAGAGACCCCTTCCACCAGACCAGGTTGCTCAAAGCCTCATCCAACTTGGCCTTGAACACTTCCAGGGATGGTCCATCCACAACATCTCTGGGCAACCTGTTCCAGTGCCTCACCACCCTCTTAGTGGAGAATTTCTTCCTTATATCTACCTCCTTAAATCTACCCTCTTTCCGTTTAAAGCCATTACCCCTTGTCCTATCACTACATGCCCTTGTCAAAAGTCCCTCACCAGCTTTCTTGTAGGCCTCCTGCAGGTACTGGAAGGCTGCTATAAGGTCTCCCTGGGGCCTTCTCCAGGCTGAACAACCCTAACTCTCTCAGCCCACTGATCATCTTCGTGGCCCTCCTCTGGACTCACTCCAGCAGGTCCATGTCCTTCTTATGTTGGGGGCCCCAGAGCTGAAAGCAGTACTCCAGGTGGGGCCTCACAAGAGTGGAGTAGAAGGGGAGAATCGCCTCCCTCCATCTGCTGGCCACGCTTCTTTTGATGCAGCCCAGGATACAGTTGGCTTTCTGGGCTGCAAGTGCACACTGCTGGGTCATGTTGAGTTTCCCATCAGCCAAACCTGCAAGTCCTTCTCCTCAGAGCTGCTCTCTATCCATTCTCTACCCATTCTGTATTTATGCTTAGGATTGCCCTGACCCATGTGCAGGACCTTGCACTTGGCCTTGTTGAACTTCATGAGTTTTGCCTGGGCCTACCTCTCCAGCCTGTCAAGGTCCCTCTGGATGGCACCCTTTCCCTCCAGTGTGTTGACCACACCACACAGCTTGGTGTCGTCAGCAAACTTGCTGAGGGTGCACTCAATCCCACCATCCGTGTTGCTGACAAAGATGTTAAACAGTACCTGTCCCAATACCGGCCCCTGAGGAGCACCAGTCGTCACTGATCTCCACTTGGACATCGAGCCAACGTTGACCGCAACTCTTTGAGTGCGACTATCCAGCCAATTCCTTATCCACCAAGTGGTCCCTCCATTGAATCCATGTCTATCCAATTTAGAGACAAGGATGTCTTGAGAGAGTGTGTCAAATGCTTTGCACAAGTCCAGGTAGATGACATCTGTTCCTCTTCCCTTATCCACCAACGCTGTAACCCCGTCATAGAAGGCCACCAAATTTGTCAGGCATGATTTGCCCTTAGTGAAGCCATGCTGGCTGTCACCAATCACCTCCTTATTTTCCATGTGCCTTAGTATAGTTTCCAGGAGTATCTGCTCCATCATCTTGCCGGGCACAGAGATGAGGCTGACTGGCCTGTAGTTCCCCAGGTCCTCCTTTTTCCCCTTTTTAAAAATGGGGCTTATGTTTCACCTTTTCCAGTCAGCGGGAACTTCACCAGACTGCCACAGCTTCTCAAATATGATGGATAGTGGCTTAGCAACTTTATCCGTCAGTTCCCTCAGGACCTGCGGATGCATCTCATCAGGTCCCATGGACTTGCATACCTTCAGGCTCCTTAGATGGTCTCGAACCTGATCATCTCCTATAGCAGGTGGTTCTTCATTCTCTCAGTCCCTGCCTTTACATTCTGCAACTTGGGAGGTGTAGCTAGAGCACTTGCTGGTGAGGACTGAGGCAAAAAAGTCATTGAGTACCTCAGCCTTCTCCATATCCCGGGTAACCAGGTCTCCTGTTCCCTTCTGGAGAGGACCCACATTTTCCCTAGTTTTCCTTTTATCACTGACATACTTACAGAAGCTTTTCTTGTTGCCCTTGACATCCCTGGCCAGATTTAATTCTATCAGGGCTTTAGCTTTCCTAACCTGATCCCTGGCTGCCAGGACAATTTCTCTGTATTCCTCCCAGGCTACCTGTCCTTGCTTCTGCCCTCTGCAGGCTTCCTTTTTGTGTTTGAGTTTGTCCAGAAGCTCCCTGTTCATCCATGTGGGCCTCCTGGAGTTTTTGCCTGACTTCCTCATTGTTGGGATGCATCGCTCCTGAGCTTGGAGGAGGTGATTCTTGACTATTAACCAGTTTTCTTGGGCCCCTCTTCACCCCAGGGCTCTATCCCATGGTATTCTACTGAGCAGATCCCTGAAGAGGCCAAAATCTGCTCTCCTGAAGTCCAGGGCAGTGAGCTTGCTGTGCGCCCTCCTCGATCCCCTAAGGATCTTGAACTCCACCATTTCATGGTCACTGCAGCCAAGGCTGCCCTTGAGCTTCACATTCCCCACCAGCACCTCCTTGTTGGTGAGAACAAGGTCCAGCATAGCACGTCTCCTTGTTGGCTCCTCTATCACTTGGATGATCTGTGCTATCCTAGGAAAAGCCCAGCCTCTTAAGCCCTCAGTTTGAAATAACCACTGTGAATCAAGGCCAGATGCGCCTTGCTCCACAGGATTACAGTTTTTTTCTTATTTGGAGGATCTAAAAGTTTGCACAGGAGCTGGCCATTTCTCTGGATTTGTGAAGCTTGAGCTTACAGAAAAGTTGGTGCAGCCCATTTGCACATAAAACTGCATATATGCTGTTGGACCTGAGTCAGAGGTCACAGATGCACTGTGTAGTTAATTTATGCGTGCAAAATCTGACTGTCTGGGACTGTAGAGGCCTCCAGTCAGTCCTGCGCTTAGGGCTTCCAGCTTCCTAAGTCCTGGCAAAAGCTGTGGAAAAAAATGGTCTAAAAATAAACCTAAAAAAACCTAGGTAACATTTCCAATGATTGTCATCTACCCATGCATATGGGTAGAACTCCTGAGCCGAAAATGTATATGGCTTATTCTGCATTCAGAGTAGTCCTCCTTTGCTCAGATGTACACACAAACGCTGGTTCAGCCCAGTTTGCAGAAGACACTGGCTTGAAAGTATAGCCAATATTTTCTTGATTTTTTTTTTAAGTTCATTAGGTCTTTACAGTAGACAGGTGTCACACTTTTTTTTTTTAAATGCCTTTAGCTAAAATGGTGGGTATGATAGCTTTTTAAGAAATAATGATGTAAGATGCTCTTCGCTCATTATTTCAAACACTAAGTGAAGACTATCTCTTTTCTAGGCTGAAATCTTGCACCCTTCTTATGTTGATCTGTAATTCCATATATAGTCCCCTTAAAATCATTGGATTGCTGGTAAAATAAAATGCGGCCTGAATAGGAATAATATAATGTAGTGCCAAGATAAAGCTGTGCAGTGTGACATATGTAAATGGTTAAGACATATTTTGGTTATCCAGTAATTATTTATGTTTGTACATCAGATGTATATTTTAATACAAACAGGTTCAGAGGGGAAAACAACAACAGTATGGAACAGTGTTTATAGACCATCCACAAACAGAAGGAAAGAGAAGACCTGCTGTTTAAAAAAAAAGAAAGAAAAAAAGTGCTGCATATACAGATCCTCAATCAGTGTGAATGGCATTAACAAAGGATTCGTTTGAACGGATTAAGTGGTTTATCACATCTGCCTGGTGAGTTTTACAGATCGCTAAATTTTTTAATTAGCGCCACTGAGATATATTCTTAGCTGTAAATTTAACAGTAATAAGAAATCACCAGTTAAATACAGGTGTTCCCCAATGTAGCAGCCTTCTATCCCAGCCATCTTTCCAAGGTAGCTGCTTTTGCCTTTTTTCTACGTTATTTGTGAACGACTTACCTCAAACAGTCTTGTGCTGATTTGAGTACATAGGCAACATCTGTCTGGCTTCAGGAGGCAGGGATTTTGAAATAAGAGGGAACAATCTGGCAAACACATGCCTGCTGTATATGCCTGGAAAAAGGGGAGACTGCAAGGCCATGCATCAAGAACAGCATCATCAAATTTCCATTTCAGTTGTGCAAGGGTTTCATGACAACTTGGCATTTCCTTAAATGAAAAATAACTCACACCTGGCCAATGTTGATATGGGAGAAAATATTTACAGAGGCTGTCTGCAAGTTCAGAAGGCTGGAAGCAAAAATGGCCTTAAATTAGTAACAATCAGAGCACAAACCAATGCTATTGTCTGCTACCTGGCTGAAGTGTTCCTGTGAAGTTAAATAATTTCTACACAAACTTGCTTGATGCATTAAAGGATGAACTACTGGGATGCACAGAACTTCTCCACCATTTACTGCTGTAGCTGATCATCTGGCAATCTCACATTGTTTAATCAATCCTCTGTTTCTCATTTAGCAAAAGACAGTATGAGGTTCTGTCTTCAGTTACCACTAGTTATTTTCATAAATATTTTGTTTCTGTAAAATCTGTGTATTTGAAAAAAGTAGCAGGCAACATAGTTTCAGAAAGTATATAGAGTAAATGTACATAAACAGCTAAAATATGTTAAATTTGTTAGTATTGAATTTATCAGTATATATCAGTGCATATACAAATTATATAATTTGCAGTTGAATCTATGAATAATTAATAATCAGGGAGAGTAATCATGGATTTGCTGGCACAGTTCTCAGTATCCAAAGAGTTGACCATGTGAATAACGAAGAAAAAATAGAGGTTGATCTTAATTGGACTTGGGGAAATTTACTAAATGCTTAAATATTTGCAGGGTTGGAGTAATTTTGATACAGGCTTCACTATAGCCTGGAAAATAATACACAGTAGCCTATATGTTATGGCTGTATCTAATCTATCATTTTGTATAATGAGTGAGCACCTTAGTTCTCATTAATAATAATGTTAGTATTAATAATAATTAATAATAATGCTTATTTCATGTATTGCTGCAGAAATTTTGGGCTACCTTTTTGTTCTACTTTATCCTCTTTTTTTTGCACATGGAAATCATAGAAGACATAATTTCAGCTTTATAATCCATCACTAGCAATGGTTGGCATGGAGCTGGGCTTCCCCAGCAGCTGCTCTGGAGTCATGTGGCTATTTTGAGTGCTGCTTTGCAGCCTGCCTTCTCTCGTTCGCTTTCTGGGCAAAAGAAAACAGCACCAGCTAACTCATTTTGGGGCAGATGTAGATCACCTCCATCTCTGCTCAGTCTTCACCCCATGGTATCCATGGAGGTGCAGAAATCTGTATGGAATGATTTCTCTCTGGCCATTCCTAATTGTGGGATTGGAAATAGGTTACAAGGGGGAAGTTACAAGGACTTTTACATAGTCTTATTCATGCCTATATGTTTGTACTCAGTCTCACAAATCCAAAAAGACAAATATATATAGCATGTGCTGACCATTTCTTGATGGTGCATACCCCTTATAAATGTACTCTTTTACTAAATAATCACCCCAAACAGGACTCAATCATGTGTACACACTTCTGACTTTTTAGAGGCTACATTTTTGTGAAGGTTGGATGTTGGAAGTGTAGTTTTAATTTAGCTTTCTCCTTCTTTTAAATCAGGTGGCTGCTGATTGTTTTTGCAGCACAAGAAATTGATGGGGTAAGTGACATTGATATTTACTTTAGACAGGTGGTAGATAGGATGGTAAAGTTCAAACAAGTAACACTATATACACCAAAATGACCTATAGTTCTGTGGGAAAAAAATACAGTTCTGTGAGATGCTTCTTTTAGTGTTTCTGCGGTTTTCACTTTCCTTTCTGTACCTGTTGCTCAGCTTAACTATTTTATAATTTTCTCCTTTGGATTCTTCTGGATTCTAACTTTGGCCTCTTTAGATGTTTTTGGAAAGCTGCATGTAAAAAACCTCTCTCATGCACGGAGCCTGTCTTCTTCCTCATGAAGTCCCTTCAATGGCTCTACATTATAGCATATATCATACTCATTCTAGCTTTCAAGCCCTTCTCTGTATGTTAGCCTAGATCTTAAACTGGCCTCCCTGTACATTTCCGTCTCACTGAAGCCAAAATTTCACATATAATATAGCCTCAATATCTACTTTATTTTCCTCTCTGTACTGTCCCCCATAGTAACCTTATGTTTCCAGTGCCCTCACTGAAACTTCTTTCAAGTCCATCCTCTTTGTTTCTTTCAAATATTTAAAAACTCTTTTTTGTTTTTTTTTTCCCCCAAAGTAATTCCTTTTCAGTTGAACTGTTGAAAATTGAATTATTTTTTCAAAATTAACGTGTGCAATTAGAACAAAGGGTAACAGCTTACGTGTTATTAGAAAGTTGCATTCCATTGACATTCCAGTAGAGGCAAGTTTTTAATAACTAAGTGAGAGAGTAGTGTGGAGTAGATTAGTAATTTCGTGGGAAATCCAGTGTGTGAAAGAGAAGCAGTCTGTGAGAGAGAACATCATACTCTCTTGTTCTGAGGTTTGGGAGTACCAGATATTCTAAAAATATTGTAGATAGAAAGAACAGAATTTTTCCTCCTTATCTAATATTTGTCGGTGTTTTCTCCTTGAAAAATTGAAGTATGAACCTATTGTGTTCTGTTGGTTATTAAAACCAGTAACAAAACAATGTTGACCTTGAGAAAAATGAAATCCACACTGAGCAAATATTCTCATGTTATCACTGTTTACGTATTTACTTAAATTATTCCTAATTCTTTTAAGTCCTTGTCATCCTCTTCAAAACCGCTTTGATCACTTACATAATTTTGCTGAAAAATTAATGTCACCTAGTGGACATTCCAACCATCTAAGTGAGTTTATAAATGCATAAGGTGTATATAATTAGTATATGTTTAATACTACACTTTGGGAAATAGAAAAGAATAATAAAATTATGTTCACTTACCACACAATAAATTACTGAATTTACATTTTGTTGTGTTTTAGTTTCTCCTCGAACTGGCTTTTTTTTTGTCATTGCAATTTGATGAAACATAGTCACTTCTTAGCTATTAAGAGGAAAATGATGCCAAGTTTTAATACAAGAAATAAGTAAATTAATGGTAGGCAATGCATAATTACACCATGCACATACTTCTTTTTTCATCTAATAGACAAGAATTAAATACTAGACTTCATTGCTGAGTGGACTTGTGGACTTGTTGCTCTTCAGCCTGTTTTGTCTTTTGTCATTTAATCATAGTTAAACAATCTCTTAACCTAATGTGATGGGTTACAAATTTCACATTATTACAAATTAAATTCTGACTCTGTTAAAATATTTTTAGATGCAGCCTATTTCCTTAGTTGTATTTATCTGTAATATTTAGCATTACTTTACATAACTCGCAGGTAGTGTCTTTCACCTTCTACAGCAACAGTAATAAGCTTTTTCTTATTGCTTCTACTTTGCCTGCATGTTTATGCTGATGAGAGGTCCAAAAAGGTTAGGAGGATTTTAAATGTAGTATTGATGTGTATATTCTATTAAGCAAGCATTGGAAAAGGTTCATATGTGTCAAGCTGAAGACCTATGCAATATTCTGATGTTTGGTGCTATGCCAAGTTTCTTCATCAGCAGGA